GCCTAGACTGTGGTGTGTGTCAGAAGCATCAGGATATTGCGCAGGCAACAGACGTCTGGGCGCGGGGGGAATATGACACAACGACACGACACGGCTACGCATGTAGAGGAGAGCCGGACTTCTCGAGCGAGTTGGTGCTGCGCTGTCTCTCTTCCCGCCTCCACGTTCAGTGTGAGCACGGAGGTGCGCTGAATGTACCCCACATGGTGATTGTCTTGTTTTGCGTGCGCTCTTCATATGCTTTGCGCTTGGACGACAGCGCGTCGTTGCTCGTGCGACAGGATTTCTATTTTGAGGACTTGGATGACGGATCTCACTTCTCTCGGGGTTGCGCCGTATATATATTACAGTATATGCTCTTTTGGTTGCGCCGTAACGAAGGTCGTTGTGTGGCTGCTTGACGCTGCCCTCCTTATCGTCATCTATACCTTCGACATCAGCTTCGCCGAGTGGGTTTCAGGCAACCAGCGGGGTTCACAAAGCCGCTGCATCTTTGAGTTATATCGGGAGTGAAACACATTCTTCATCTCGTCGTGAGCACACTTGAGAGACTCGATGGGGGCGCGGCTTTCGCAGACAGGTTGTTGTGGCCCTCTCTGCTCTAACGAGCCAAACAATGTGCTGCAGTCATGATCGAGAGCAATCCATCCGTGTAAGCAAAGCCTTGGTATGTCGAGAACACTCACTACCAGTAGGCTACGTGAGAAGGCGGCCTCTCTCTCTCTGCCACGGTCTATGATGCCTCGCTCTCTCGACCCATTCCACCACCCTTTCAGATCAGGGGATCGCTCTTTCGTCTGTCCGTCTGTTGCTCTGTTATTACTACCTAGTCTAGATCAGGTGCTCGAGTCCACGAAACTCAATGTCACAGTTGACACAGCACTCACTTTCACTCTTGTGTTTGACTGACAAAGGGAGAGTGTGGTGATACTGTTTGGGATCGGCCAGATTGGCATCGGGGTACTTGGTCTCGTACAGATCCCTTTCTGGAGTCAGCAGTTTGCGTTGGGTTGTGGAGCCTGATTGGAACTAGGACTTGGGTTCCGTCCAGATTCCTTCGTGCTGGAAATTGGAGGCTGATTGGAACTAGGACTTGGGTTCCGTCCAGATTCCTTCGTGCGGGAAATCGGAGCCTGATTGGAACTAGGACTTGGGTTCCGTCCAGATTCCTTTGTGCGGGAAGTTGTAGGTGAAAAAAGAATGACAGACGGGGGTGACAGGGAAATCAAACTCGGCGTTCACGATGGGACTGCGTTGGGACTCGGTCGAGATTTGCGTCCCATGGGACTTCGTTCACGATGGCACTTCCTTCGTTCTTCGTTGGAACTCGGATCTCTATTGCGACAGGGAAATCACACTCGGCGTTTCAAGATATAAATGGGACTCCGTTGGGACTT